ATCTATTATAACTCTGGTGGCAGCACTCCCTGTTGAAACCTGGCATTACGCGGATAAAAATGTGACGCCCAGCAGAGCTCGCAAATGAAACATGTCGGTATGCAGGCGGATCAGTCTCCGCATTGGAAAATACTCCCCCCCTTGCTATAATTATGCATCTCTGTAAACATGGAATCGCCTTCATTCCGTTCATTTAGTTAATTCCGCGCATTCCTTTTATTCCCTTCATTTCATTCATTTTGTTCATTTCGTTCACTCCCCCAATTTCCTCCATTCGATTCTTTCCTTTCGTCACCCTATGGGGGCCGCCCCTGGCCTCCGACATCGCCACGTCCCACCCTGCAGAATGCTAAGATCAGAGTTAGATTCCTTGGGGAAACCCATATACCAAACCCTGACTGAACAAATTCCGATAGACTTGGCAGGAGATAAGCTCTTCACCCATGTGAAAAATTGGTATGACGAATACAACATAGAAGAGGGCTTTGCCAACGTCAAACTTGGCAGCATCAAAAAAAATATCAACTTATCTGCTAACGAATATAAAGAATTCACCACGGATAATTTTAAAGGCATCAGGAATAAAAAGGAGTTTAAAGGAATATTTTACTCCTTCGGTGAAGGAGAGGACTACAATAACCATGATGGGATGTATCACAGAAAGGACAGTGACCATGAGAGTCGTGGCGATGAGAATGAGAACGATGAGACTGAAGATGATGAGGATGAGGAAGATGAAGACCATTAGGATGAAGACTATCGGGCTGAAGACCAAGACTGTTATCAGAGAAGGAGTTAATACCCTTCTGGAGCAACCGCCAATGAAAACCGGCAGGAATTTGCCTATTACGACCACGAGAAGAAGGCTCAATTTTCTTACGACGGAGACGAATTCGAAGAGATATTTACAAAAACAACAAAGAAACGTGTAAAGGGAAACTTCAGAGATACAATAACACAGGAAACCGACACTGATAGCCACGAAGAAGGGATGTGGTTGGGACCATCTGCTAAAAAATCTCAAGAACAACAACATTACCAAAATCGTAGAATGTCAAGGGTCCCCCGGGCAAGGACGTCATCTGGAGAGACATGGAGTGAATTTGGCGAAGCAAGCGAGTCATCCAGTTTGACAGATAACTTTTTCGAAGAAATCGACAGAAGAATTAAAAAGCAACCACTTCGCTCCCTTCTTCCTCAAACAAAGGGCGATAGTAAATCTTCTAAGAAGAAGGAATCCTGATGTGACAGATTAGGAATCGCTACTTCCATATTAGAGTTTTTCACACCACTTTTTGGAATGCTTATATAGAGGAAAGTAGTAATGGCCGTAGGTTCTTCGATGGCTTTCCTGTGTTTTCTCATTTCGTCCAGTATCATAATCATTTCTCTTGGACGTAAGTTACGCAAAGTTAAGAAGTCGATTAAAAACAAATATAGAGATGAAGATAGGAACAAAGATAGAGAACGCGCCAGGAGGCCCCTCCAAAAGGGTGCCGAAGTGAGGCGATCCATAATAAAGGATAGTGTCCTTGTGATGCAAACTCGGCAGAATGATGTTATCCCTAGGATGAGACGAATACAAGGCAGACAAGGGTATTAATGGGCCGCAAAACCTAATGATGGAAGAATATACAGAACGTTTCATGAACCATGTGTGTAAAAGAATTTCTCCAATGAGAAGTCGCTCTATGCACACTACAGTATCTTGGTGGAGAAATTTACAGAGACTTTCCCCCTCACGTCATGGGACTGTCATATTTTTTCGTCATAAATGGTTAATAAATCCCGGAAGCATAGTGTTTCCCATGACTTAATCGTATTATCGATATCCTCCTGTCATGAAGAAATAGGAAGATAAATAAATACAGGCTTGCATGGAGTTTCTTTTTTTGTATTCGTGTTTATATATATATTATAACCATAAGCTGCACTCTCCCGCTTTAATGGATCACCTTCCGATAATAACTCCAGACTCA